TGTGCGACCCCTGATGTGTCACAGAAGCTGACATCCAAGCTCAGTGAGGGTTCTCTCTGCCAGGCATGGGTGCTGCTGCTGGTCAGGACAGGGCTCTTCTTTCCTCCTGATGTCATCCTGTATCCACAGCGAGATTAAAGGGGAAGGGACAGATTCCAGAATAAGCACGGTACAATAATCCACAGGACATACAGATGAATCTGGGGCTGGGTACACGGGGAGGGATTTTTAAATGCTGCCAAGGACAGGAGCCTGAAGGATTCAGAAGGCGGAAGCACAGAAGTGATGACATGCAAAAGGCCTGATGCCTTTGACAGAGGATCCTGTGCTCAGGTTTCTGCTTGTCCTATTTACAGCAAAAAATGGAACGTCCACAGGGACGTCTGCAGCCCATGGAAGAGGTGTGGGGCTATAAATTTGCCTTTTCTACAATTTAATACAAATGGAATGATGTAGTATACAGTCTTTTGTATCTGGCATCTGTCACTTACCAAAATGCTTTTGAGATCCATCCAAGTGGTGGCGTGCATCAATAGTTGGTTCCTTTTTACTGTGAAGTAGAATCCCTTTGTATGAACGTATACTATTTATTTACCCATTAACCGGGTGGTGGATATATGGATTGATTTTCATTTTGGTATTATGAGTAAAGCTTCTGTGAACATTTTCATACAAGTCTTTATGTGGGCATATGTTTTTATTTATCTTGTGTAAATACCTAGGAGTGCAATGGCTGAGTTCTACTGTAGGTATGTATTTAACTTTATAGGAAACTGCCAGACTGTTTCCAGAGTAGCCGTAAAGTTTTGCATTCCCACCAGCAACGATTTCTAGTTGCTCCACATCTTTGCCAATGCTTGGTCTTGCCAGTCTTACTCATTTGAGCCATTCTAGTGGGTGTATGGTGGTATCTCATTGTGGTCTTGATTTGCATTTCTCAAATCTTTTTCATGTGTTTATTTGCCATTCATTTAGCCTCTTTGGTGAAGTGTCTGTTCAGTTTTTTTGTTCATTGGTTAAACTGGATTGTTTTCCTACTGTTGAGTTGTAAGATGTCTTTGTAAATTCTGTTTAGAAGTCCTTTAACAGCGGTCCCCAACCTTTTTGGCACCAGGGACCGATTTCATGGAAGACAGTTTTTCTATGGAACAGGGTGTGGGGGAGATGGTTTCAGGATGATTCAAGCACACTGCATTTATTGTGCACTTTACCCTGTAGTATATGATGAAATGATTATGCAACTCACCATAACGCAGAATCAGTGGGAGCCCTGAGCTTTAGCTTTATAGTAAATCTTAAAATCAGGTAGTGTGAATCCTCCAAATTTTTTTTCCCTCAAAATTGTTCAGACTACTCTAGGTCCTGTGTATTTCCATACAAATTTTACAATCAGCTTGTAAATTTCTACCACACACAAAAAAGAGTCTGCTGGCTTTCACTTTGATTGGCATTGCGTTAAATCTATAGACCAATGTGAGGAGAAGTGACATCTTAGCAATATCAAGTTTTCTGACCTAAGAACACAGCATATCTCTCCCTTTATTTAGGTGGTCCTTTTCGATTTCCTTCTACAATGTTTTTTAGTTTTCATTTATAGTTCTTGAATGTACTTGTAAAATGTATTCTTAAGTATTTCATATTTTTAACGCTATTGTAAATGGCATTTTTATTTTGAGTTCCAGTTCATTGCTAGAATATAGAAACACAATTTGATTTTTGTATATCAGTCTTGAACCTTGTGACTTGTGTTTAATTTACTTATTAGTTCTAGTAGCTTTACTATATATTTCTTAGGATTTTTCTACTTAGACAATCACATCTTTTTGAATGAAATTAGTTTTACTTATTCCTTGCTAATCTCTATGCCTTTAATTTCCTTTTCTTGCCTTATTGCCCTGGCTAGAACCTTCAGGCCAAAGTTGAAGCAAGTGGTGACAATGGACATCCTTATCTTCTTCAAGTTGTACTTAAGGAGAGCACTCAGCCTTTGAGTAAGATGTTAGCTGAGATTTTTTGTAGATCCTATGTAAAGAATAAATATTTTTAACTGGCTATGTTGTTGCCCACATCTATTTGAGGTTTTTCTAGAAAAGAAGGGGGAGTGGATATAGGCGTCCACCATGGGGAAGGTGTTTCCTCATGTGCTCAGCTCTGTGCCTTAGCTGTGTGATGATTTATTAGGAAATAGGCTTATCTTTTCATTAGAGGCTTTCGGTGTGGGATGTTTTTTACATTAAATGTGACCATGTGTGATCATATGTCTTTATAAATAGTATGTTTGGGAGGGGCAGGTTTTGCCTGGGAACTGACTCACCCTCAGTCCATTGGGAGGCAGTGTAGCCCATGGTTAGGAGTGTGGGCTCAGAAGCCTGGGTGCCTGGTCTGAACCGAGCTCTGCAACCTTAGGCAAGTTACTGAACCTTTCTGCCTCAGGGTTTCCCACTTGCAAAATGAAGATAGCAACGAAACCTACCTCTGGGGCTTCTGAAGACTAAATGAGCAAATGGAATTAAGTGCTTAAAACAGTGCCTGCTGCCTGGAGCATTTTAAGGACTCAGTTTGCATAAGGCTATATTTACACACTGATTTTTAGTAGAAGGTTTATTGCCCAAAGTGAAGCACAACCATATCTTTTTAAAAATCTTCTGTTCTGAAACCTCATATTAAGGTGTTTTTTTTTTTTTAAGATGGGAAGGTTGATTTCTGTTGTTTTACAATATTGTTTGTGCAATAAGCGCATTTTAAAATCGTGTGCATTGCATGGGCAATTACAGGGTTATAATTGTGGGCAGTGACCCTCGTGAAGTTTAACCCTGTCTCTACACTTGGAGGCCGATCTGGAGTTTGACCTTCTGACGTATTCATCTTGATCACTTGACAGTGAGATGAACTGTGGCCCCAGCTCTGCTCCTGGGTCAGCCTCAGTGGGTGTATGGACCACTGTGAAGCCCCCAGGTGGCTTCAGCCTATTATTTCCTGCCATTAAATTCTAATTCAAGGGGACAGAGGCGTCTCAGACAGTTGCTTTCCTGGGCATCTGTTGCAGGAAGGCTGCCTTTCCATCGACATGCTCCGAGGCCTGGGTGCACTCCTTCCTGTCTGGGGTGGGTCTGAAACTGAGGTGGGGGCCACTGCCAGCAGGGATGACGTTACTGAGCCCACAGCAACACCGGGATGTTGACATATAAGGAAAAGCACTTAGGAGCTGCTGGCAGGCCTTCAAGGGGCCTTTCCCCTTCACTTGAACTTGTTTCTTCTTTTTCCCTCCTACTTTCTGAGGGGTGCAGTCGCAGCCCACTCTGCAAAGGGCCGTCTGCAAGATTTTCCCACATGACGTCCTTTTCTCAGGCAGATTCTGCATTGTCCAGCCAGTTGTCTGTGCCTGGTTTTCTCCTAATCAGGCCAGTAATAATTTACTCTACACACTGAATTTTTTTAAAAAAATTAAAAAGTACCCTCAACGCTATTCGCACACATCTGCACAGCATTTTATTCTTCCCTGCCTCCCGTGCAATGTTGGGGAGCAGTCAGCGCGTGATTAGGAGAGCCTGCCCACCGGTGTTTCCTGGCGTTATCCTGTACAGCGCGAAAGGTAGAGTTTCGGCACCTCCTTCCAGAATTTCCAGGAGCATTTGGCCAGCTCCTGTCCTCCCCCTGCCAAGGATTTCCACAGGCTGTTCCCTGAGAGTTGCATGCCTTCGCTACGCCTTTTCGGTTGTAATTGTGGCACCGATGCAGAGAGATACTGATGCAGGGACTGAGACTGACATTATCTTCTTTCTCAACTGTCAAGAGATGCCCTGCTTAGGTGTGGAACCCGAGGCACATATGACATCGTCCTCCAAACCGTGCCCGCCGCCCCAGGTGATCGTGCTGAATTATACATGGGTAGAGGCTTTCTGCAGCGCTTGTTTTCCACTGGAGCACAAAGCTCTCTGTTACAGGAGGGATTTGCCACAGCAGGTCCTCCAGGCCCTGCAGAAACTGCAGAGCTATGGGGAAGCAGGTTACTTTCCAGCTGAGAGGGCTCACCAGGGTGTGAGTTTAAAACAAATGGGAAGCAGAGACATCGAGTGTAACTTTCTATTTGAGTGTTATTTCCACACAAAAAATTACCAAACATTTAAATATCAAACCATTAGGTTTTCGAAACAAAGAAAGGCAAGAAGGAACAAAGAAAAAATCAGAAGTTTAACTCTCTTCTCTGGTCAGATAAGAATCTGCCTTTAGCGCCTCCTAAGCGACTGTTAACTACTAATTTTGTGATTCAGCACCTTTTTCTTCTCCGTGTATCCTCTTCATTCTTATTTCACTCCATTTCTATTTCCTCATTTCCCTCCAACTCAAAAACACAAAGCAAAGAAAAAAGACTCCCTTTATTAGAGCGATGGAAAGACCATCTCACACAGAGTAGACCCACAAAAGCTGTTGGTTAGATGAATAAATGATGTCACCTTACTGTGGCTTCTGTTTCTACGTTTATCACACGTGGCGACCACCCAGTGCCAGTTCTTGAGAGGTAACAGACATTCCAGAAACACTTTGAAAACAAATGGAAGCACGACCACAATGGAAGGAAGGAAGGACGGAAGGAGGGCTGGTTGTGCTGACGGTTAGATCCAAGCAGTTAGTCCTGGGATTTTGCACCCTTCGGGCAGTGAGTGACCCGATTAGAACAGCCTCACTTTTCTGTGCACGTGCCCTCCCCTTCACGTTGTTTCTCGAAGGTCTGCCGCCGCTCAGGAATTGGCAACGGGTAGTCCCACATTCGATATGTGTGAGGAATTAGTATAAACTTGGAAACTGGACTCACAGGACGTGTGTGACGTTTACTCACGGAACAAGTAGCTTTTGCCGCTCGCAGAGGCCAGCCCACTAGAGGCCCAGCACCGTGCCCGTGCTTAATCTTAAACATTTGGATATTTGCCGTCTGTCTTGCTGCTAAGCTCAGTTCTTTCAGAATATCACCAACAGGTATCTTTCTTACATCAATCTGACAGGTGGTGACCAAGAAGGAGGACTTTTTCAGTGCCTGGAACTCGTGTCTGCACCATGTGGCTTCCCTGTCTCTGGCGCACACTCACCGAGGTCAGTGGCTCCTGCTGAATGTTTGTGATTCAGTGACTCAGGGGTCTGCGGGTCATCTGGAAGCACAACTCTGCAGAGAAAGGACAGTCACCACACCTGCTTGAGGCCTCGTGTTGAATTTAGGGCCCCAAATAACTTATAGAGACTTAAAGCTTGTGGTAAATCAACTCTCAACTTGCTAGGAACACTGACCAAATGACACCACAAAGCCCGACGCTAAACCCATCAGGAACAGCTCACTTCATACAACCTGATAGTCGCAAATGGCACTAGACAGGAGCCAGTTGGCAAAACGCCGGCCTCTCAGAAGTGGCCCTCTGCCCAACGATGTCTGTCATTCCTAAATAAACAAATGGGAGGGCGTGTACACAGATAGAGCGAGGGTGTTTTAATAGGGCCACTGCCCGAAGAATTTTAAGTACCAGAACTACTTAAACCTAATCCTCCAGTTAGCAAGAAACTGGGTCAGCCTTTTAAAATAGTGGTTCTCAACCAGGGCGATTTTGCCCTGTAGGGGATATTTGGCGATGTTCGGAGACGTCTTTGGTCGCAGCGCTGCTGGAGCGTAGCGGGCAGAAGCCAGGATGCTGCTAAATACCGCAGCGTGCACAGGCCAGTCGCCCACGGCAAAGGCGTACCCAGCCCAAAATGTCAATAATGCTGAGACTGAGAAACCTGAATATTCGTTTTGGCCTCAATAGACCAAAATAACAACATTTTTCCATGACAGATTATCACTAAAATTAGTATTTAATCTCAAGAATCCTGTTTTATTTATCATCATGTCCTTACTATGTGGGGGGAAAGCATTAAAGGAGGAGGCCAGGTGCTTGCCGAGCTGGTTTGCTGTGTGGGTTTTCTACCACACAGGGTCACTGCTGACCCCAGGAGGGCTGGCTTTGGTGATCATCACAGCTCGCATCTCGGGTAGCGTCTCATGGGGCGGGTGATAAGGGCTCCTTGGTAAAGTCTGTTAAGGGTCAGGGTAGATATTAATATTAAGGCCAGTGACCCAGGCATGCCTGCATCTGACTCAACTGCCCAGCCTGGCTACCCCCTCCCTCCCCAACCAGGTAGTTCCAGAAGAACAAAGTGCCACATGATTAATAGCTGCAGGAATGCCTGGGCCCCTCCCTGCAGCTCAGAGGAGCGCTGGATTGGAGCAAGTGGTTTAGGCTCACACTGAGCTCGGCCCCTTCCCTCCCTCTGAGGACCAGCTCTTGGGACCTTGCGCCCTTGGGTAAGCGTCCTGACGTAGGGTTCAAGAGTAAGGGCTAGAATGAGAATGTGCCGAAAGCACAGGTTCCTCATGGGGACAGGAAGCAGGAGCCCCACAGGAACACCACCCCAGAGACCAGCCTTTGTACGGAGTGGCCGAACCTCTGGAATTACTGTGGCCACGTTAGCCAGCCTTCCTGATTCTGATTGAGTTCTACTCTCTACGCCCTGGGACGGGGGAGAGCATCAAGGAGAGGAACCAGGAGCATCAGTGACAGGGTGGAAGGTCCCTCCCCTGGGGGTCATTAGGTACAAGATTGGGTTCCCTCAGTTGCAGATCCAGAAATTTTAATTATTGCACACCCACAGTGTGTCAGGCTAGGGAAATTGACTCATCTTAATCAAACTCAAAAGTGACTGATATATAAACCTGAATGGCAGTTTATGCATCACAAATTAAAATCCAGCTGGTGAATTATCCTGACGTGCCCCATCTCTTCTATGGGCAAATCTCCATATGGAATTCAATTATAATTAGGAGGCTGCAGCAGGTTGCACCGTCTGGACGGCTCGTGCCCTCAGGCCTGGCTGGAGACCTGATTGTCACTGTGACCTGCTCCAGATCCTGGAGTCCACAGGGCCTCTACTTCCCTGGACTATTTTGGTGCACTTAGCACCAACCTCACCACTTTAATAAATTTGTGCAAACCAGCGCTCTTCATTGGTCGGTTATTTTTCCAGACTTCTTGATCAGGCTGAAACTTATCTGGGATATGAAATAGCACTCAAGACACCCTTTTTGCAGGCGAGCGTGTCTCAGGCCTTCCTGACCACTGTGTGTAGACTCGTGCTGGCTTCACTCTCAGGGGTGCGGTGTCCCAGGTGCTGGGGTCCCTTCCTCTGGGCCCCTGGGTACTGACCTCAGATATCACCCATCCTGGGACATGAGGGTGAACCATGTGGACTCCAGGTGAAAAGCTTCTAAACATTTCAAGATGTGATTAAGTTGGAAGGGGGATGGTCAAAGAAACATGACAGTTCAGCCTCAAGCCATTCAGCCTGTTCGTTGAGAGCATAATGGAGCTTAGTGTCAGGATTGAGAATGTGGGCTCTGGAGTCAGGTTATCTGGGTTCAAATCCTGACTTTACCTCTACCGGCTGTGTGACTGTGAGTGAGTTACTCAACCTCTCTGAGCTTCGGTTTCTCCTTCATTTATAAAATGTAGATATTATGCTATTTATGTCATGGGGCTATTGGAAGGATTGAGACAATGCTCCAAAGCTCTTACCTTAGCATGTGACCTATTGTTAGCATTCAATAAAAAAAATTACTATTAATTAATCACTACTCAATGAAAACCTTAGTTCCCATAGCCAAAGTAGAATATTTTGACCCTTGTTTCTTGAAAGGAAAAAAAAGAGGAAGATGAAACAGGTTAAATCTGAATGTAGGAGTTCTTAACACCAGGAGGAAACATCAAAGATTTAATGTTGCCACAGCACAAAAGGAGTCCAGATTGATTCCAAACATTTTATGGGTTTATAACCACAGCAGCAAAAGTGATTATGTTCAGGAAATTGGCTTCAGGTTCAATGCGAGGTAAAGAGGATTTGGACTTACAAAATAACAGAGGAAAAATAATAAGAATTGGTTCAATGACAGAATTTAGAAATGGAGAAATCCATATATGATGAGGGGGTCTGTACAGATATAGGACAGGCCCTAAGATAAGAATGTACCGAGCACGCACCAGTCAGGAAGAATTTCGTCAACGTGTCACTACATTCAAATAGCATCGTACCCCTCTGGCAGGGGTCTCCAGGGGGTGGGAGAAGAGGTAGAAGGAGCCCATCTGTCTTCAGTGACTGGGCCCAGATGTTGCCTTCAGAGACTTTTGAAGGAAGATCACATAGGAAGGAAGAGAAGGCTCAGTCTGTTAAAACACAGACCTTAATGTCACCCCAGATGAAAATGAACTGAGAATCTAGCCATTTTTATTAGGAACAAATGGAAAAAAGTCTTCTGGCATCTGTATCCGTTTGTCACCTGAAGACTAGGGAAAACCACGTTTGAAATAAAAATGTTAAGTAGTCTCTAGTGGTTTCTGTAGTGGGATGTAACCATTACAATGATAAATTGTTATTTTTCTGTGATACACATTTTTATCTTGCCCTAGAAATAGCAATTCTGAAGCTTGGTGCTGTCTGAACCCCTAAGGGTATCCCAATTCCTGAACAAAAAGGGAGAAACTAAGCACTTTTATTAAATAAATTGCATCCACCATTTTCCAGCTCTGTGCAAAACTGTCTCTTTTCTCATTCTCGGAGCTTGTGAGTAGTTCTCATTATGCATCAGGAAGTCCCTTTTCTGGTTCTTAATAAAGTGACTAATAATTTAGAATGTTCACATTAAGAGCAGGTTGTAATTATAATTAGAATATATAATAGTGTGGATTTCTGCCTATCGAGGATTAATTTCAGACTCCTCTCAAGGATGTATTTGTTTCAGAACAAGACTTTCTTTGTTAATAAAAACACGATCACATGCATTATTAAAGCATTATTTCTGTGTCTTATCCATTAGCGCTTGTTCCAGTATTCTTCATGGGATCAGCATTTTCCTCCCAATTCTTAATGGGGCTATTCTTTATACAAATGACATTCACCTTGATTTAGTTTTAACTTTGGCATTCATCTTCTAGGAAATTATGGGAATATACTTGCCACCTCCTTGAATGTGCTTTACATTATGCAAGCTCAGAAAAAGAAAATGCCACAGCGTCAACCAGGGTTCCTGTGCAAATCTGGGTACTTGTCCCCTTACACCCAACTAAAACTCTGAGTCTTCTCAGCAGAAGGGCAACCCTGACCTGGAGTGGAACCAGTAGTCACAAGTCAGCGCTGCTTCTTCTTTGATTGATGGGTTTCTGCAACGTTTTGCTGTTACTGCTGGAGGTGGAGGCCCGGGGAGGTGGGCATGAGGGGGAGGACCAGAGGTGCCATGTCGATGGTGACACCTGTGTTCCTCCTCTCACACTGGCACCCATCTGCTGGTGGGATGAGTCTCAGTGTGGCCCCATGCAGGTGGCCTGAGGGAGGGAGGGAGGCCCAGGCACTCTCTTTGTCTCACACCCATTAAGTGTGTGGGCGGTGGAAGCCGGCAAGGCAGTCTAGAGAGCAGAGAACCGGCAAATGCAATTCGCTGCCCGATCCCAGCAGTCCCCAACATTGGGGAAGAGTAGGAATGTCCTTGGCTTTGGTTTCTCCATCCCAGTCACATGGCTGAATCCTAGACCTTTGAGCAGTGCCTGTGAACGACAGGTGCACGTGGGAGTTGAGGGTCACCGTTTCGCAGAGTGCACCATGGCTAGGAGCGGTGAGGGGAAAGCTTGCATGTTCTGCAGGAGTTGAGGGAGTCCAGGGACCCCCTGGTCTCTGATGCTGGAGGTCTGGAAACCTAGGAGCTGGCAAGATATGGGGGGAAACAAAAGTGAGAACTCGCCTTCTGACTGTACCTGTACAATACTGCTTCAAGCTAGAGCGATGAAGGTGACAGCCACAAGGAAGTCTGAGGGAGGCGCCTAGTGAAACAGAGACCGTTGGACACAGAAATGTGGGGTACTTCATGCTAACACCAAGGATGGCTCTTACAAAAAAAAGATGAGGGAAAAATTTGACTGAACGTGGAGTGTTGCAGTAGTAAACATTTGGCAGAGCATGCAGCTTTGCCAGTTGGCTTTTAACTTTGTGCCTCATCAGCAAGGAGACATGGGAAAAGAGAA